GGAAAAAAAAAAAAAAAAAACAGAAAATTCAAATAAATTTTATTAAATTATTTGTTAGCAATTGTATATATATAGAGAGAGAGATAAAAAAAGAGAGATTAAATATTCGATTTGCGAGTTGTTTAAAGTTTTAATTAAAAAAAATAAATATATTTTTGTAACGTCTTTTGGAAGAAAAATAAGTGGGTGTTATTAATTAATTTGTTAGCAATTATATATATAGATATGATATGAATACGGGTGAATTATGATTTACGGATTCTCTATTGACGTGTACGAGCATTTTATAGTTTCACTCAAGATTGGGCCTACAACATTAGTTTGAGACAGCCCGTCATCCATGTTCAATTCATTACTCTGTTTACATGTGGCCCGTGTATGGTAGTATTCATAGGCCATAAAGACATCCCCTACATAAGGATTCACAACCACATATATGTATATTGATAGACTCAAATACTTCGAAATTAATTAAATTATATATGCCAACATATCATACTTTTAATTAGGCTTGGATAAAAATTTTAAATCAACCATGATTTACCGTATGGATAATTATTTATCTCCATTACCTTTTGATATAAAGATTTGGGTTAATGTTGTTTCGTGCACTGTTATAAAATATGAGTTAAAAAAATATATTCATGGAATACAAAATCTCATGTAGTTGACGATGTAAACTAACATGATTTAAAAAGAGGAAATACCTATTTTCATCCCGCTCTGAATGACTGGAATAAGTTTTACATTCTGTCAAACAAAAGTTAAATTTTTCATTCTATAAAGTGCAAAATAAATGATACGACAATCTATGTGGCATACAGACGGAAATAATTAATAAAGTGCGAAACAATTATGTAATAGAATGTACAAATTAAAGACGAAAATAATTGATAAAATGCAAAATAATTATGTGATCAACTATGAGACAAACAGGCGAACATAATTGATAAAGTGCGAAGCAATTATGCCATAAATTATGCGACAAACTGAAGAAATTGGTAAACTGCGAAATAGTTATGCGATCAAGTATGCGACAAACATGACGAAGATAATTAATAAAGTACAAACAATTATGCGATAAACTATAAGACATGCAGGTGCACATAATTGATAAAGTGCAAAATAGTTATACAAAAAACAAAAGAACATAATTAATAAAGTGTGAACAATTATGCAATAAACTATGTGACAGACAAATGAAAATAATTAATGCGAAAAGCTATGCGACAGGCCGAAGATAATTGATAAAGTGCGAAACAATTATACGATAAACTATGTGACAAACAAGAACATAACGGATAAAGTGAAAATTAATTATGCGATAAAATATGCAAAAAACAGTCGATGATAATTGATGTGAAAAGCTATGCAACAGACTGACCAAGATAATTGATAAAGTTCGAATACATTATGCGAAAAGATATGCGACAGACAGGCGATGATTGTAACTCCCCGAATATTTTTAGTAATTATGAGCTCGAATTTATTTCCATAAATAGCAAGTTTATTTATTTGATGCATTAATTTATTATTATTTGCATTAAATTGAATATTAAATTCTAAGTCTAAGCCATGGAGAATTTGTTCGATTTTTAATTTAAAAATCGGATTTATTAGCCCAAGTATCGGTTTCATTTTTTTAAGTGAAACCGAGTTTTATAAAAATCGGGATTTTATTTAAGTCGGGCCAAAGCCCGGACGAACCAAGGCTAGGCCTATACCACTATAGTTTAAAAATTGGGATTTGAGCCTTGATTTGGTGAAATTTTAGAAATTGATTATGTTGAGGTTTAGCTAGAGTTGTTGGATCTAGAATCCTTATAAATCATGTTGAGCTTAGGGTTAAAGTTTCGGTTTAAAATGAGTTAGGTTGCTCGGAAAACTAGACCTTAGTTTCGCCGGTTTCCAAACACCGAGTAATTTTTAGATCCGAGCAAAATCACCCAAACCCTAGTACCGTATAAATGACTTTAGATGTCATAGGATTATTAATGAGTCCTTGGGTTGTCGGAGATATGGTCGGCCGGCCGGCAAGTAGCCGGCGAGACCGTAACCAAGACTAAGAAAGCTACAGAAGCCGCGTGCCTCGTAGCGAGCATAGCCAACCCAACCAGCGTGCATTAGCACGCATTCACAACGCGAATCAATGTCCTGCACACGTCTTACTCTTGTCCTATCGTTTGGAGCCGAGCCACCGAGTGCGTGTCCGTGCATCGAGTTCGACTGAGCCGTGCTCGTGCGTCTGCCCAACCTACCCGTCAACACGTCGTGTCCCGTTAGCTGTGGTCCAAGCGCGCCCATGCGTCAGTGACCGTGGCACCATTTAAAAAGTTTGTGCGTCAGCAAAGCCGTGTCAGCCGTGTTCGTGCGTGCCTGTGAGTTGTTATGCCGAACCCGGACCACGGTTGAGCCGAGCAGAGCCGTACCTAGCCAGCGAGCGAACGGCCAGTTTTCGGAGCGAGCCGCCGGTCCAATCCAGCCGAACTGGTCCGGACAGTTCAAGAAGTTTCCAGTCCATCCGAAAATGTTCGGGCAGTCCAGTCGGTTCGAGAGCTTTCAGTTCGGAATTTCTGGTTTGAGCGTGAACCGAGATTTAAGTATTTTTCCGACCCAAGTCAGAGTTAGATCAAGTCAAAATTTAGGTCCCGAACTTAGAAATATTTAAGAGAACTCTAGAAAGCCTCAAGACAATAATTTTTCAAGTTAGCTCGTAATTGTTCTAATTTGAGTTATAAATGATTTTTAAAACCAGCAATCGAATCTAGAAAGATTAGAGATTAAGATTCGAGTTTTTCAATTTGAGCTAAGTACTTAGAATATATTTTGCTCAAATATTTTGTAACTTGAGGAGAGAGTCGAGCCTTTGCTTGGTACACATCTATTCCCAGCGCTTGCACTTCAGCATATCTGGTGGGGACCCTGTAATGGGTGCTACATTTTCTATAATCGCATTATCCTGGCTGAGGTACGTATGTAAGAGTTAGTTTGTCTGAATAGGGACAATAACCTATTTTTGTTGGAATTTTTGTTGGAATTTTATTAAAATATATTTGTATTGAAACTTTACGTTGAAATTTTATTATTTTGTTGTAGTATATATTTTAAATTAAAATTAAAGAAAAAGTAGTAATTATTTGGAGAATATGGAGTGCGTATAAGGTGACGTCAATTTTTTCGGCACTATCTGGTTAGACTTTTGTCGCATTGTTCGAACGCCAGGGGTGACGTCAGCTATAGAATTCATTCTCGTCAGCAAAGTGCTTTTAGGCCAACCTTACAGTTCCCTGATTTTCCTCTTCAACACGCCATTAAAGATTGGTTTATGTTTACAGTTAAGACTTTCTGCTCCGACAAAGGATTGAGGTAATTTTTCATTTAATTAATTAATTAAGAAACCTTATGTGGTCTTTACTGATTTTATGTATTATATCTGCAAAATCTTTGCTAATTTTATCAATAACCTCTTTTGCTTTAATTCGTCGACAGCACTCCATTCATTAATTAGTACTTTTAGGTGATAATTAGTTTTCATTCATGGAGAGCTAATTGGTTAGTAGTATGAAACATGAAAATTTCCTCTACAACTTTAACTGTTGTTGCAAAAATACCTTAAAACCCTAGTTTATAGCAAGTTATTGTACTTCAATTTTCCTTTTAGTTATTAATCTGATTATTTGATTTGATAAACCAGTGCGAAATTTCCGAACATGGATTCCTTTGATCACGAAGAGATGTGTGCAATTTTCGGAGAAGATTTTGGTGACTATATTTCCTCACAAAATTCTTTTTCCTCTCCCGAAAATATGAACATTCTAAGCAGCAGCTCAATCACTTCTCACCACAACTTTCCCAATTTCACACCATTAATCGATTATAACCAGAATAAGCTTCCAACTACTCACGGCTTGATTAATTTCGGACATCACGAAATTAACCACGTAGAAAACCTCCAACAGGTAATTAAGCTTCGAAAAGGCTTTTTAAAATAATTAACTTCTTGTAAATAGTATTGTTTATATATATGTTTTTCATATTTTTTTTTTTTTTTATTTCTTTACATGTATGTATAATAGGTTAACGCCTTATCCCCTTCTAATGAAGTCGAAGGCAATCGCGTCGTTTCACAAACATTTAAATCTCGAGGCTCGAAAAATACAAGCAATAACGCTAAACAAAGGTCTTCCCAATTACCGAAAAAGAAAAAAACGCGTACTCGGCCGCCAGCACAAGTGTACGAGCATATTATGGCTGAGAGAAGGCGTCGGGAGCAGCTCAGCCAGCTATTTATAGCTCTATCTGCCATTGTTCCTGGCCTCAAGAAGGTGTAGTACTTAATTTTATTTTAATTATTTATATATTTTGCATGAGATCATGGACTTTAAGTTATCTAGCTTGAAGGGTATTTTTTATTGTTACAGATGTTTTATAAATTAAAATAATAAATTAGGTTAGTTAAAATGAGGACAAAGAATATGAAACTCGGGGGTGCAAGCATGTATTTGATGGGGCCTCACAATTTTTGTTTGTTTTAACATAGTAAGTGTCCCTCGTGCTAACTTTTTCCAAACTTGCATAGCAAAAACAAATAAGCCCGATTTCCATGCTCACCCAAGAAAACAAATACTTGAGCAACTCGAGTTCCTAATATTCTCCAACGTGACCCATAACAAAACAAATTCTCCTCCCATGCTGACAAAATCAGTTTATAATTTTTTTTCAAAAAGCATATCTATTGAGAGTTTCTTCTCCTCTGTCTATATAACTCGAGTTTGATCTGATTACACAGACAGATAAAAGCTCAATATTGGGAGAAGCCATAAACTACCTGAAACATCTGGAGCAAAGAGCAGAAAAGTTAGAACAAGCGAAAAAATCTTCGAAAATGGCAATGGAGTCTGGGGTTTTCGTGAAGAAATCGCAGGTGTTTGAGGATGAAGAAGGGTCGTCGGCTGCAGATATCGAGGCAAGGGTAGTCAACAACAATGTCCTCATAAGGGTGCATTGTGGCAAACACAAGGGCATTCTTGCCAATTTACTTAGCCAGGTGGAAAGCATGAATATGGTGGTTGTCAACACTAATGTCAGCCTCTTTGGTAATTCCTCCCTTGAAATCACCATTATTGCTGAGGTAAGAATTAAATAAAATGAAGTTTAGGGCGTGCTTTTTTGTTTATGAAGTAATTCGTTCTGAATGAATTATTTTGGTTAACCAGGGTTAATTTTGAATAAAATGTCATGGTTAGTTGCTAGTGAGATTTTAAATTTATAATAAAATAATTAAAGTTGATTAGATGTAAAAGTAAGAGAGATGATTTGAAATTATAGTTAGTTAAAATTATGTGAGTGGATGAATAGTGAATTAAAATTGATATGATGTGTAAGAATGATTGATTTTTATTATCTAATTATACGAATAATATTAAGGATAGTCGGGTTCAGTTAAAATTGAGTTAGATTTTGAGTATGAATTAACTGTGAGTAGATTATTTAGTAAACAAGAGCACCCCCTTAATTTTTCTAACTACAAAATTGTGAATTGCAGATGGAGAAGGGATTCAGCTTGACCGTGAAAGAAGTTGCAACGGCTCTTCGTGCAGCTTTCAAGCCAGCCACTGCATAAATTTTCGTCACCCGATTATTTTGTATGTTGCTTTTGTGAAGACAAGATGATTATCAGCCGACTTTATCTATATCTATGTGGCTTTGATAATGTGCATGGGAATTTAATTTATGGATTTGGAGAATTTTTCGAAATTTATGTTAAGACCAAAAATCATGTTAATGTGGGTCAGCTGATCGATTCCGACAAGCTCTATGTACTTGATGTGTGTTGAAAACTCTTTCATTTTGGTTCATTTTAGTATCAGTTATGGAAAAATTGTTTGTTTCCGTATTTTTAGTATTCCCCAATTTCAATTTTAGTATTTTATATGGTTTTAATGGAAAATTTGATTAATTTGTATTGAAATCCACAACCTTAAGCAAAACACAAATTCTGTTGTACGTTCAAAGAGGAGCGTATAGGAGCAATGGAGCATATATTCTAAGAAATTTATTTTAACGTGGACTGTTGCATAATACGTATAGCTTTTTTTGGAACCAAGTTGTTAGAAGTCGAAAGTAAAAATTGGAAAAGAATTTTATGTGCATGATATTACAAGAAACTAAAGAGGAACGTGTTCGTGATGTTATTATGGCTTATAAAATTAGATCCTACATTAAGCGGAAAAAAATATTTTTAATATGCTTTCTTTAAATAATTGTAATTATAATTTTTCTAAATATTTAATAAATATAAGAATTTTTATTCCACATAAGTTTTCACAAAACTACTATTATAATAGTATATATCTAGCATAGATATATGAGTTATTCTTACATCACACTTATTCTTTTAATTCCAACGCTTATAAGATTTAATAAGGATTCCTAACTATTAAAGATTTAAATTTAATATCATGATTTGAAGGTGATTATTTCTCTTAAGAATTTAAGTCCCTACGAATAGTTTCTAGTTTTTGTCACATAGTATTTATTTTTATGTTAACACATCATTATATGTAAACACATATTATAAATTCAATAACATTAAAATTTATTATCCTATAGTTACTTAAACTCTATTCATTAACCCTTTCATCAATCAATCATAGAATAAATATATAATTATGACGCATACCTGTGTAATGTTATGTCAACAATTGAACAACATATTTGTCCGCAAGAGTTTGCCACGTTACCTCAGTAATTATATATTGAGCTAAGCTATTAATTATTTTAGTCCAAATCTTTATTCGAACATGTCATAAGTTTATACACATAAAATAAAATGTTTGATATTATTTTAGTTAAAATGTCAATTATACTCATAAATTTAATATTGATCAAATTCAAATTATGAGTTGAAAGGTAAACAGTTTACAAATCAATATTGACTTTATTTAAATTAATTTTCATAAAATAATTGATATTTTGATATACATTATTTATATAATTAGTTATGTTGATTGGTGTGATTTTTATAAAAGAAATGAAGGAATTTCCGCATCACTATGACAATTATAAATTATAATAATTTCGAAATTTAAAATTAGTAATTTGAAATGAACGGAATATTATTCAACTTGTACCATATTAAGGATAAAACAGTCTTATGCATATTAAAGAGAGAGAGAGTGAAAAAAAAATACAGAAAAACTCAATATTGCTTGTTTCGTAATTACCATTTTGGGGGCTAAATTAGAGGTTGGAGGGTGAATTAGATGCTTGACACATTAGAACATTTGATTCCATTGTATGGTAAGTAGCAATTTGAAATATATTTTTCAAATTAAAAAAAAAAGTTAATTTTCAAAACGCTCAATATAAAAGCATTTTGTAATATAAGATTGTAATTTTGATTGTTTTTACATATCAAGTAGGAAACAACTAACTATTTACTTAACACTTTTACAATCATCTAATTCAACAAACTATGCTCGTTCAATTAACTATCTGCTAATTAAATTAACTGTTACAAGAATTTTTTCATTAATTATTTACCCCACATCACATTTATCCAGTACTTTGTTCTTCCTATTCAACAGGTGCTAGATGCTCTAATTAAATTATCCTTAACATTCCTTATGAATAAAATTATACCAATAAAAATCTATTAAGTAGAAGGACATTTCAGTCAATGCACTATTGGATTGAAATTTTTAATTAGTCCTTTATCAATGATATTTATTTCTATTTTCATTTTTGTCATTAAAAGTATATTAAATTAAGGATATTCTAGTCTATGTAATTTTTTACAAAATCATTCCTCCTTTTATAGATATAGATATAGATAGATATAGAATATATATAGATATAGATATAGAAAGATAGAGATTATCTAAGAAAATTTAATTTTTAATGTACTCTTTAGAATAAGGTAAGAGAAAGTTATATAATATAAGTAAATAACTTTAGAAAATTCCCAACTAAGTTTACTTATTATAAATAATAGAATTTACTTCCCAGATTTTCCTTTAAGTCATAGATCATTCTCAAAATTTACTTATCATGCCAAAATTACTTAGGATATAGTATATTTGTAGTATTACGAGCAATCACAAATTTATTAATTACAATTTATCATGAAAATTTTTCATTATTTTTTTGAATTTGTGCAGAATATATGGAAACTATGTGAGTATTTTTTATTTATTTTTTTTTGGCTAAATTATGCCCATCTCATAAATTTATATTTTCAATGGTTTATTATTAAATTATTTTGAATCAATAAACTAAATCATTTTTTTTCCTACAAAATAATTTTGTATACTGAAAGTGTGACCTACATATAGTGGGTGATAGTTCATTATATATCAGTGACCATCCATTCTATCGTCACCTGACCCGATCGTCAACGGTACATGGACAAATTGATGATAATTATTTGTAAAACTCAACGTTCAACTATATATGGATTAAATCATGCAAAGATTATATATACTGTATAAGTATCAAGTCAATCCCACTGTTCATCAAAACTCAGATCTACTCAAACAGTTGGAATCATATATATATATATATATATATATATATATATATATATATGTATGTATGTATGTTGAAACGTAGGTATTTGTCACGGAGTGCGCTAATTCTAGTACGAACTAAAACAAAAATTATAAAATGCGGAAGCAATAAATCGAAGATTTAAAAACTCTTCAGGGAAGTGTCCCACTTCCCCTCAGAGCTCTTTCATTGATAAACCGTTTGTGCACACTTGTATAGTTTGGACTTACACGACTCGAACTCCCTTCTAGCCTAGCCACAACTACACACGATTCTATCAACTACTTCTCCGACCACGTCCCGTGGATTTTACCTCTCGAATCCCTCGAGCTAAAGGTAGTACTTAATCCCTAAGCACTGATCACACAAGTGTTTGAATGAAAAACAAAGAAAAGAAAACAAAACAGACTTCAGTTCTTCGATGATGTAAGAACACCGAAAAACTGACCAACGAAAATAAAACACAAAAAGCTTGCAGCTCGAATATGGAATAGAATATATTGCTCTCAGCTCTCAGCTCCCCAAAATTCGTTCTTCAAGCAGGTATATATACAATCCCTAGGATGTGGAGTGTTCTCCAAGTACAAGACTCCTTTTTGATTTCCTTCCAAGTTTAGGACTCTTCCATGTAAATCATAAGAGATATGGTAGGTGTAGATCTCTATCTTCTCTTTCCTTCTTATATGATTTCCTACAAAATATATCCATAATAAGATCATGTAAATCTAATATATATGTATATAAATCGAATATATAAACATAAATATAAATATATTCGAATATATAAATATAAATATAAATAAAAGAACTTCCCTTTTTATTTCTCATGCTTGCAAGAATATATCTTCACTTATATTAATTTTTGAACTACATTGCCAAAAATATAACTCTTTCAATCTCCCCCTTTGGCATCTAGTTCGAAAATCATATAATGAAGATAACCTGAAACACAGTTAGAACAGCAAGCACGAATATGCAGAATAATATCATAAGGAACAAATCACTGCAGTAAGAATATCGCAAATAGTGACTGAGTAAGAACACAGTCCATAAAGTACCTGCAGTCACAACTCATTAGACGCACATAGCATAAAACAATCAGAGCAAACATCCTACCAATCACAGCAAGTATTAACAACAGCCACACAAAAGAAAAGTCATAAGAGGTTCTAACAGAAACCAGAAACCAAGCACGAATAAGAGGTTCTTTGCCTCTCTCCCCCTTTTTCGAACTACGAGATGCCGAAGGGCTATCAAAACACATCAAGCTATCAGAACCTAAGTCAAACAGAGTGACCAATTTATCTCCCCCTGTCAGAATAGTCAAAACAATCAAGCAGCAAGACATAGACGTTCTTACATCTTGCAGAAACATGTCAAAAAACAGCACCCAATATAATCAGAAGCAAACAACTAGAACATGATCCCCAACATCTTCAGAAACATCCAATTTCTCCCCCTTTTTAGACTGAAATACCAAAGGCAAATCTCCCCCTGAGTAAGAACATCGAATGAGAGAGAGAAAGACAAATACAACCGAAGACGAAAGTCGTTGCTTGAACTGATCTATAATCATTGAAGACTATCCATCTCTTCTCTAGACTTTTGCCATCAGCCAAAGTATTTCAGAAGCACATTAGAAAATGATGCAGGAACACAAATGGTTAAAAGAAAAATTCAAAGAGAGAAAAATAAAAATGGGGTTCTCAGGTTCTGAAAATGAAGATATATAGGGAGGACGTGATGGGTGAGGTTTGAAAAAAAATATCAAGGGAAAGGTTGAATACCATGCAGCAAGAACATCCCCATCAAAACTGAACACACAAACCCATTAACACACTAACACACGTGTCCAACTAATTCAAAATTAGGAAGAATAAGATTTTATCATCCAAAAATAAATCCCCTCACAATTTTTAATGTCCAAGTAATTCACTTAAGAAGGAAATCACATGCATTATGCCTAAGGATGAAAAAATAAAAATAAAACCGCATGAAAGACACTAAAGTCAATAAAATCCGTGCTTAATCTACTTAGGCATGATTGATGCATAATTATTCCAAAATCAACATTGTGGTACAAACACACCAAGGAACAAAACAGAGGCGGTATTATTATATATATGTATATGTAGCGCAAGTCATATCTCTCCAGAATTCCAACACCAAAACAACATAAGCTTTATTATTCACTAGGCTTTTCACTTAGTAACAACCACTGCAATAGTGAAAGTCAACCCCATTACTTTGCCCAATGATTTTAAGCAACAACATTAATTTACATCGAGGCTTTTCACTTAGTAACAATCACTGCAATAGTGAAAGTCAACCCCACTACTTTGCCCCAATGCTCGGTGTAAGAACTCGTTTTTTTTTTTTGTTTTTTTTTTAAATCATTATGCACTACGTTTTTTATGAAGATGACCACCTTATAACTCCAAGTAAAAACACCACACAATGAAGTGCAGTGGTTGTCAATAGCTACCACCCTTCACAACATTTTCTGTCCATGACGCTCTTTTCACAGTCGATCCCAAAGGAAACGAACCATGTGCTAGCTATCGCTCTAGATCATTGTGTGAAGGCAGCTCTTTTTGACAGAAATATATTTGTTCCAAGGTATGCAAGAACACGCCATCAATTAAAGACAATCAACATCTCACCCGCTTTCAGAAGAGTCAGAACTTCATTTATGACTTAGTGGTGAAATATATGCAAAAATGCAAGGCATGCCTAATGCAAATAATACCCTATATGCATACACGCAATGCAAATATAATATATATACTAATATACAATACAATATAATATAATGGCATGCAAGCAATCAGAGAATGCATATCCCTAAGGATTTCCTTAGAGAGATAAATCTTTGAGCATCAAGGTTATGTGCTGGAACATATTTGTGAACAATTAATCCATCATCAACCAAATTTCTAGTAAAGTGGCATAGCATGCTAGTACGATTAAGAGAATGTTGAACAGAATATTTGAAAACATTAGCCGCATAAGTAAGGTCAAAGAAAAGGTCAATGGCTTGTACCTCAGTTCCAGATTTAAGAAAAATGTGCTTCATCCACACCTTTTCTGAACAACAAGTTTCAACCACAAGATTCTGATCAGTGTAAAAACAACCATCAGACATACTCCATTGATCAACAGCATTCTCATCCCTATCAGCATCACAATCTCTAACAATACCAGAACTCGCATCACATGAGTCAAAAGTCATATAATCAATCAAATAGCAATTATCATGCGGTCTAGACCCTGTAAGAACACAATTATTATTCCTATCTGAAACCAAACATTCATTCAAGGTGAAACTCACAGAAAAGTCTTGATCACATAATTGACTCACACTCAGCAAATTCGCTTTCAAATTTTCAACAAGAAGGACATTTTGAAGTTTGGGCAATCCAGGAACATTCAAACATCCTATACCAAGAACTCTATTCATAACACCATCACCAAAGGTCACAAAACTAGAAGGAACAGGCAAAATATTAATTAAGTTAGATTTTAGACCTGTCATATGACGAGAACAACCACTGTCAAAATACCAATCAGAATTAGAGGTGGATTTCAATGCAAGTATAGAAGATAAGCAAACGTTCTTACCGCCTTTAGGAACCCAAATCTTTTTCTGTTCATGATTAACCACATCAACCTTTAGTTTAGGTGCTTTCAAGGGTACACCATATGGACTCCATTCATCAATTCGACCAGTATAAATATCATTATGCATCCTATAACACTTAGGGCGAATATGACCACGGATACCACAATAGTGACAAACAGGCACAAAGTTCTTACCAGAATTCTTACGCTGAGTTTTAGTAGAGTTAGGCTTACCATTCTTACCATCAATGCTGTAACCTTCTTTGACAAAGGTCAGGTCTGACTTACTCAGAGATGTGCTAGGTTCGCCTACTTTACCTTTCAGTTTTTGATCATGAGCGTTCTTACTCTGGTCTGAAGTACCTATTTGTTGACTCATCCTTTGAACTTCAGCAAATGAGGATTTGGGCTTGTTGATCATCTTGACAATCTCCTCACTCTTGCTGAGTTTCTCCTCCATTGTAGAACAATAACTCTTGAGCGTTACATGTTCTTCCATCACTCGACCGAGTTCTCTTTTGAGTGCAACAATCTCGGATTCCCTTTCATCTATAGTTTTCTGCAAGGCAAACATTTCATTACGTAGAGACTCAATGATAAAATCCTTTTCATCACATACCTGCTTGGACAACTTCTGTTCATATTCTAACATCGTGATTTTGGCAACAAATTCGTCCAGCTTATGTTCCTCCTTGCTGGTATGAACATCAGATCTGGTCAGCTTATCATTCAGTTCGCCATTCATCGTGTGAGTTTTCTGAAGTTCATCCTTCAAGTAGGTGATCTCCTTCTCATGCTCTGCAGAACGATGTTGGAACACCTCGACTTGAGCTTTTAGCTTTTTCACCATTTTTCCAGCTTTGATGCTCGTCTCTAATGCAAGCTTATGGGTAGCCAAATCTACTTCAACAGAACCATCTCCAGAATCATCAGAATCACTATGAGAATTATACGTGTAAGAACACATACCTGAATCAGCATCACAAGGCTTATGAGAGGCTGTATAACACGTGAAGTTATTGAGAGAAGTGACGGCAAATTTGTTCGTGTGTTGCTGGTCATCATCGTCTTCATCATCATCCCATGTGGCTCGATAGGTTTTGTTCTTCCTCGTGAAATTCGGACAGTCTTTCTGGAAGTGTCCAAATCCCTTGCATTCACGGCATTGGTTCTTCTCTATGTCCTGGTTCTGAGTCTTCTGAGAATGTGAGTTGGAACGTCGTTCACCAGACTGCTGATTGATGTTCTTACTGAAGTCAGTAGGCTTCTTCCCTTGGAACTCCTTTTTCTTCTTTAACTGAGTGAAGTGGCGTGTAAGAACATCCAAAGCCTTAGCAATACTTTCAGCATCAAGAGACTCATCATCAGAATCCTCTTCGTCTTCAGCCTGTGTTGGAACATTGGCTTTCAAGGCTAAGCCTTTGCTTATTCCCATCTTATCATAACCACGATTGATTTCAAAGGTTCGAAGTTCTCCAAGTAAGTCATCGAGACCAAGAGGCTCGACTCGCTGAAAACTCTCAAGTGCGGTGATCTTTTCACGGAATCGTTTGGCAAGGGTCCTCATGATCTTTTGCACTTGCCTCGCCTCAGAAATTTCCTCACCAAGCATGGCACTTTGGTTAACGAGATCACAAAAACGTGCATAGTACCTATCAATATTTTCATCATCCTTCATGCGAATAGTGTCGAACTCCGTGGAAATCATTTGGAGCTTGGAAGACTTCACGGCGTTGGTACCCTCAAATTGCCTCTCAAGAATCTTCCATGCGTCGCGAGTTGTTGTGCACTGGATGATCATCTTATGGCGAGTTGGATCCACAGCAGACATGATAGCATATAATGCACGAAAGTTTGCTTCTTCTGCTTGTCTTTCAACATCAGTCCAGAGATCCCTTGGTTTCTCGACTAGAACATGAGCAGCCGAGGTTGATGACTTTGATTCCGAGGGAGCTTTCGGCATGAGTGGTGTGGTCCAGCCTGACTCAATGACTTGCCAGGTTCCTTTACCCAAAGAGCGAATAAATATCACCATCATGGATTTCCAGTATCCATAGTTAGAACCGTCAAGGTACGGAGGGCGCGAAACGGACATGCCGTCGTGAATCATGGTGACCAATCACAGTCCCAAAGATCTTTATCCCGTAGTAAGAACAGGAACACTGCTCTGGTGCCAATTGAAACGTAGGTATTTGTCACGGAGTGCGCTAATTCTAGTACGAACTAAAACAAAAATTATAAAATGCGGAAGCAATAAATCGAAGATTTAAAAACTCTTCAGGGAAGCGTCCCACTTCCCCTCAGAGCTCTTTCATTGATAAACCGTTTGTGCACACTTGTATAGTTTGGACTTACACGACTCGAACTCCCTTCTAGCCTAGCCACAACTACACACGATTCTATCAACTACTTCTCCGACCACGTCCCGTGGATTTTACCTCTCGAATCCCTCGAGCTAAAGGTAGTGCTTAATCCCTAAGCACTGATCACACAAGTGTTTGAATGAAAAACAAAGAAAAGAAAACAAAACAGACTTCAGTTCTTCGATGATGTAAGAACACCGAAAAACTGACCAACGAAAATAAAACACAAAAAGCTTGCAGCTCGAATATGGAATAGAATATATTGCTCTCAGCTCTCAGCTCTCCAAAATTCGTTCTTCAAGCAGGTATATATACAATCCCTAGGATGTGGAGTGTTCTCCAAGTACAAGACTCCTTTTTGATTTCCTTCCAAGTTTAGGACTCTTCCATGTAAATCATAAGAGATATGGTAGGTGTAGATCTCTATCTTCTCTTTCCTTCTTATATGATTTCCTACAAAATATCCATAATAAGATCATGTAAATCTAATATATATGTATATAAATCGAATATATAAACATAAATATAAATATATTCGAATATATAAATATAAATATAAATAAAAGAACTTCCTTTTTTATTTCTCATGCTTGCAAGAATATATCTTCACTTATATTAATTTTTGAACTACATTGCCAAAAATATAACTCTTTCATATGTGTAGTACCATAATAATTCACAAGAATATATTTTTCACTCTTGGTAAATAACAACACTCAGTTTACATATCGAACTCGATCTACAATCAATGGTCCAATTGTATGAGTTGATCTTTTCAAACTAACATGAATTGAATTTAATTAACTCATTTTAATTAATTTACTATGACATAAAACATTAGAAAATATGACATAAAACATTAGAAAATGTGGCAGAGAAACCTTTTTTTATTACAATACAAAACAGAAAAAAAAAAACTGGCGTAAATGGCCGCATCAATAGTAGAGCCAAATAGAAACTGCCAAATAAAGCTGAATAGAGTTAAAAAGTAAATAAATGCCTGAGAAACCTCACCTGTCAATTGGGTAAATTTTAACGATAATTATTTTAGGTATTCATTTTTTCGTAATTTACTTTCAACGTAATGGCCTTTTCCAAATTCATAAATCAACAATTTCATTTTTCATCGAATTGGATAAATGACTCGTTTCTATTAGGAGTCACAATTTTACGAGTGTCAATATTGAAATATCACGAAATCTTTTTCCCCAAAAGGATATGTCGATAGTAATTTTTTTTATAAACATTTATAGTACTTTAATCATCAAAGTTCAGAATATTCATCTATATTTAAGAGGTTTGATTATTTTGTGGATGTATGCATTGTTTTCACGAATACGGCTGATGATTACACTTTTATTTCCAAGTGCACCATTCTAACTGAAAATTTCAATGAAAACGGACCAATTTTCCTTTTTTTTTTTTTTTTNGAAGACTGTTTTAAATACAAATACAACTCATTTAACACTAATTTCAGAATAAAGAACCTGAAAACAAGCTAGCTAGTGGTTCAATTGCAAAAAGTAATCTTCTTGATATTGATCAATTATCGGCAGACTTTAGAGCTAAACGTAGAGCTTTCACCATGTCTTTGCCTGATAAGCTGACTTCTTTATCCATCTGCACCCAAGAAACGGTGAAATCTGAGTCAACATGCAAATGACTATGTTGGGTAAAACTAGCAGATAAGCTACTTGATAGCTGATAAACTAGCTTATAACTTATCAGTAATTTTCGAGTTTATATCTTATAGTTTATGACTTATAACTGAAAAACTAGCTTATATGATAAAAGTGTTTGATAAATTAGCTCATAAACTAGTTGAAATAAAAATTTCAACTGACTTATTTGAAAAATTGTCCAAATAAGCTTATGAGATAAATTCGTGTTTTTATTCTACCAAACCAAACGAAGCTTATAAGCTGACGAAATAAAATATAAGCTAACTTATTGGTCTACCAAACATAGCCAGAAAAACTTGTGCAATAATTTGGAGACTTAAAATAAAATGAGAGAATAAAAACTATAGTAGATGTAGCTATTTCGTCATCCAATANNNNGGTCAATGAAAGCTAGTCAACGATTCGAATCACGAGCCTCCTCTCCCGTATTGAACTTGATATATTAATGGTGTAAAAAGTTATTAAGTTTTATCAAATCATTAATCATATATTAATTCTACTGTATATATGAATGTTTGTTTTCAGCAAAGAACATAAAAACACGTACCTCAGCAATAACAGTAATGGCAAGCGAGAAGCCCCCAAAAGGCGTGACGCTTGTGTTGACCACGGTCAACCCAAAGTTCTCGACCTCGGCCACAAGCCTCACCAAAACCCCTTTCTGCTTTTCACAGATGACCTTTAGCAGGACACTTTTGCCACTAACCCGGGCCTCGATCTCTGGGCCGTCTATTGGGCCGGCCCAACTCCGCTCATCAGAAGAGCCCTCGTCCTCGACTACATGGGACTTGCTGACTAGCAAAATGGATTCCATTGTATTCCTACTGACTTGCTCCTCTAAGCTGCTGACCTTTTCTTGAAGGTGTTTCAAGTAGTTTATGGTGTCGCCCAAAACTGATGTCTTATCCATCTGTTTCAGGATATATTTAAACCAAATTAAACAAATGTGTGCTTGTTAGCTTTATTTGGTGTGGGTCAATTTTTTTAATTTTTTAATTTATTTTTGTGCTTGCTGAAAGNTCAAGTTTAATAAAGAAGAAAAATGAAAATCAGTTTATTGATCAGCTCTTCTCTACATATCCTTCTCATCTTTTCACTTTATTAATTTTCATAATAAAATATTATACTAAGAAAATAATAAAAATTTGCTATTCAAACCCTCTTAAAATTATAAAATTTTCTATTATAACTATATATAAGTGTTAACGTTTATGATCAGTCGACACACATAACAATAGTTCTAATTTGGAGTAGCATTGGTGAAAAATTAATATAAGCTTATGACAATAAATATATGCAACTTTTCAAAAAAACACAAATGCCAGTTGTAATAGTAAATTGTTGACAAATTAATATGACTGGACGGTTTTGTTTGGTAGAGTTAGGATCATATGAGAAAGGAGAATAGTGAAATAAATAAAAATGAATCATAATCCTTGGATGTGATATATCAACGGTCTAGACACAGTCAAAGGGTCCAACTTTAGTCAAACACACGGTGGCATTTCTGTAAATAAGTGGACTTTGATTTTTCACGCGGGGATATTTTAGTCATTGCGCAAATGCACTGTTTGCGATAAAGTGCAATATCACATGCACTAAAGTGCAGTTTGTATAACAATATAGTGCAATCTGTATAGTGACATTTTTAATGTTTAATTCCGAACACGATATGGTGCAACAAACTGTGCATTAAAGTGCAAGTACTAAAGTTTTATTAAATTATAAATTTAACTCATGAACTAAATTATAATATAATTAAAATTTATAAAATTATAAGTAGGTCCCTCAAACCTATTTAATTTTCAAAATTCGTTCAACCCCAATTTCAACTCTCGCCGGCGAATTTTCGAAACGCAACCACCAGCCATCGTGCGTCTACGACATTCGCCGTGGGTCCAGCCGTCGGCTGCGATAAGAGGAAGTCGGAGAGGCCGACTTTGATTTTGATTTTAACGTCGGCTGAGATGTCATAAGGTCGGTCACGGGCTGGCGGAGGCGGTGCTCGCGGGCGGCGGGCGGTGACCGACGGCAGGTTGTGACGGGGAGGTGCT